CTCGAGTTCACATTTGGCTCTCTAACATTCGGCATCGGTCAAGAACCGGGAAGTTGGTTCCAAACAGATATGCTCGCACATGAATGACGGATATAAAGTCGACTGTTCATGCGTGGTGTGAAATGCATTCCTGGTGACGGTCACCATAATCACGGAGCACAGAGTTGAAACCTCATCTTAACCCTAGTTCCGAGCGCAGTGAAAAGGATAATAGTTTCTGGATCTCATTGGTAATTCCTACACGTGCTATGTCTATAGCGTGTGTTTAGCATTCGCACAATTTGCACTGCATGCAATTTTTCCGGTGGGATATGATTTTCACATCTAGACGTTGCTCTCAGACAATTTTTTCTCCTGTCTATAACTGTCTATGGATCCCGTTTGCATTGCGTTTGTGACTGATGAGAACAATCGAAATGTTGACATATCGCAACTTACGACTTCTCACTGCTCTGACGAAATGGCTGTAGGGGATTCACTATGTTACTTGTACTAGCTGGTCGATTTTCCTCCTTCCATTTTGTAGTCAAATATATGCCTTTACTGTTCTGACGATGAATCATTGAAAGCAATTGCTCCCAAAACGGTCTTCTTCTTAATAACTTGCATGGGGATTTTCAAGTTACTTAAATCATCCAAACCACCCTCAGTGGTGAAGGCGCTCAATAAGTTCCTCAGACTCTCCACCAAGCTTGCCGAAGCCAAAAGCTGTGTTCAATACATTAATGATTCTGTTGAGCGGAATGAATATCCTGTCAGATTTTGGAAGCAATTGCGCCGTAATCGGATTTATCCCAATAGCAAGACGCTTAAACGGCACGCATTAAACCAACGTGACACGGTTCAGTCAAATATTGATGAGTTTGAACAAAATCTAGCACAACGCCACGCGATAACAGAGGAGTCAGCTGCAGACGAAAAGATGTTATTGGATTACGTTGAGTCTATTGCTAGAAAGTGTGTGCAGCTGATGTGTTCTTCTCTAGCACAGTCGCTCAGGCAGCTTGAGCCGGAAGCCAACTTTCTAGGCAGGCCACAGTAGTATGTGCACAACTGTTCTAGTTTGAAGATGCATAACACTTTAATCGAACTGCTGTTGCTTGGCCTTAAATTTTGCGCTGCTATATGCAAGGACGACCAGCACGATTATGATTATAGTTTGAAAAGTTTTACGGGCAGATGAACGGGTTGTTCGCTAAGTCCATTACAGATGTAGAATGTTTTAAGTGTTTTTTTCTAAATTGTTGCTACCAATTTCGTAAACATCATGTGCGTAATCATGGTCCGCTAACACGAAAACATCTGGATGCGCTAAAGGAACAAAATCGCTATGAGGAGGTCATCGTGTGTGGACTAGACAAGGGTGTGGGGATTTTGCTACTAGACCGAAAAGACTACGTAGATAAACTAACAAGAACACTGAGCGACGAGACCACGTTCCCGTGTAGCACAGGGAAAATAGACCGGACGGAAGCAATTGAAACAGACCACTGAGAGCATGCAAGAACTCCGAACTATGGGGCATATTTCAGATGCCCTGTATGACAGCCTCAAACCTGGTGGCACAAATGTTCCAAGGCTTCACGGGTTATCGAAAATTAACAAAGGTAACATTCCACTCCGTTCCATTTTGTTAATAGTCAACTCGTCCTACCATGTGGTCGCTCAGTGGCTTGTACAAATTCTGGAACCGGTGCGACAGCATCTTGCAACTTACAGCTTACGTGAAAGCTTCCAGTTAGTAGAAAAGATCAAAATGCAAAAATTGACGGGAAACTGATACTCTCTTTTGATGTTTCTCACTTTTTACTAACTTTCCGCTGATTGAGACAATAGGTCACATTTGCGATTATAAAACCGAGTTAAAAATATTATGTTTGTTTCGTTAAGGCAGTACGAAGACATAGGTTGCGATCTGTTAACATTTCGATTTCGCTCGTTATTCGCTACGCAATACAGGCAAAACAAACACGATATGTATAGGGTCCACAATTCATAACATATACAATAAGATAAAACTGATGAGAATGATTTAACCATGTCCAAAGGAATCTAATTGATCAACTCAATTGTTTCCGGGCGCAGAGCACGGGACAATTCAAACTTATCAGTAACGCCTGGCCAATTACCAACAACGTCGGGTTCCTATTGCGCAATAACATCTTAATGAATCGATTAGGTTCACCTGGTGACGAGTCGTCATGAGGTTCTTGGTGTTAGACGAGGCAGGGTTTCGGTTCATTCTTTGGTCCGCTCCGCCTTGGTTAAACAGCAACTGCCTTATCCACAATGGAAAGTGTTCCGCTATCCTTTAAGCCAGCCGGCGACCAGTCTTGCCTATGTAAGTGTCACCGAAACTGCAAATGAACTGATACATGATGTTAGAGTCCGAACTGATTGTCGAGCTACTCGCCCGCTAGCATTGTGAATCTAGCCGTGTTTGCGACCACACACATATGGATGCTTGCGTTGAACGAGAACATAAATTCCTGGAGACACAAAAGCGATTCGCGTTTGTTTTGGATGGCTTGTCACTGGTTTGCCGTTTCAAATTTGAGCCATTTTCTGCTGAAACCCTCCTGCGTACTAGGACCAAGATTTTGCGCAGCGCTCAAGGTACCCTTGTCAGAGCAGGCAACCTTCCTTTCCCTACCGAGCGTCAGAAGCATGTGCACCATCTGTCAACAGCACGGTTCATGCGAAAACAGTTGGAAGTGTTATCGCTAGGATTAAAACACCGAATACCGCAAAAGACGGTGGAGAGGCTCCACACAGAGATTGATTTCGAATATCTTTACGGTCAACTCAGCGACCTATCGCCGAAATCAACGGATAATGTAGGATGGTTTCGGGCAAAATTAGTGGATATCTCACACCAGTCCCTGAACGCGCCTATTATTCAGAGGTGTTGCTTGAAGTCGGAACACCATGTTGTAAACAAGTAGCTGCGGAAAATGCAGGAGGTAATTTTTCTGCAACCGGATGAAGGCACGGGTGTGATAATAATGGACAAGACTGATTACACCGCAGAAATGGAGTCCATTCTCGGAGATAGGCGCAAGTTTCGTATTGACAAGACACTTGACAAGAATATATTGGTAGGGAAACAAATTGCAAGGCATCTAAAAACTTTTTGCCTCATGGTTATATCTCCGAGGCAAAATTCGTCACAGACCCTGTCAAAGGTGGGTTGGTCTGCGTTCCATGGTAACAGACTCGCTGTTCCCAGAATCCGCGATGCCAGAAATCAATTGTAGTATTAGTAAAATTTCGTCCACCTTCATCTTGGAAATGCTCTCTTAATCACAGTTTAGAACCGAACACAGACGGTGATAAGTGAATGCATTCAGCGATTCACCAGACGCTTGTTGCAGCTGCGAACAACTGTACCGAGAATTACAAGGGTTTATTCGAACGCCCATAGTTTTAACTAGTGCTGAGAAAGCGTCTGTCAACGTGGGTTTGTCTCGAAAATATATAGTGGATCAAAAATACGTCGACCTCCTGCGCCGAAGTGCAAGCGCAAATGCTTAAATATATCCTTCGATTTCGGCGTCCCACATGGATTGAGAGCCGGAGGCTAAATATATTATCTAAAAGTTGGTTTGCCAATCTTCCCAGCAATCTGCAACTGGGAACCCCAGCGTCAGTCCAGAGTGGTTCAGGAACACTAGCATGCAAATACATCGGTAACTTGCTGTACCAGTTTGTTGTCTTCGGAAAATTCAGCAGACCAGAGCAGCACTGATAGTACGTATGGAAAACTGTCTACACATATGCTCGTTACAATTAATTCCAAAGGCGTTAGAATCGCAACCAATCAAGTGCAAGTTCACATTGCTGGGACAATGAGTGCTGTATTGAAGTGTGAGTGGTATAAAAGAATTTATAGAAAAATCAACACGAGAGATGTGTAGAGAAAGGCTTAGGAGAAAAAAATACTATTAAAATAAGTGGATTGTTCTGTTCTCCGAGGCAGGCATTTTGGTTGCAGACCTTTCGTTAAAAATCTAGGCAACCTCTTCAATGCGGCCATTCAGTCCTGATTAGCGGTCTCGCATAAAATTCACCCAGAAAGCAAAGAAACCTGCCCGGGCTAAAAATATCTAATCGTGTGTCCAAGCATGGCGCAGTGCAATTGCTTTTAACGGTCCGAACCAGACCTCTGGACACCGGCACGGTAAAGCCGATTCCCATGAAGATAATTAGATTAAGATTAGCATGTATACTATTTTAGCACCAAATAGACCACAGCTAGAGGAAGGTGCTCAACAAACTGGGATTCGTTTCCAGTTTTAGATCGCATGATACCAAAGTTGAACGTAATAATACCTGTCTGCTTGTAGGAAAACGCATGGGAGAGAATTTGAAGTGCTCAGCAAAGATGGACTGGCAATTGCTGATTTCAATACAAGCCCTACACAAGCTAGGGATTTAACGGAACGGATCAACCCTTCGGCACAGTTTCGAACACGTGTTGACTCTGCAATAGATCTCGCGGAACACGGACTGACCCATCTCCTCATCCCCTACTGGTTTTCCGGCGCAGTCCACGGCAGCTGGTGCAGTCGTTTCCTCATGATGTTGCAGGTGGCTACTTCTCAAACGTGAACATGACTACCATCAGATAGTTGAGACTAATATCAATTTAAAAGTGTCTAGGAAATTGACATTATTTAGTCCAGCAACGCGCATTCAGCAGTGAAATCATGTGACATATAAAGTATAACCATGCTCTGTCTCCAATTCACTTCTGTCTGGACGGTCTTCTCTTTGTTTATTGTTCAAATATTGGAAGCTTATACAAGGTCGGCAATAGAATCAGTTGAGTCGCTTGCACGTGCCTGAATCCGTTGCGATCCACCTGGTGGTTCATATGGTGGAAAATTGTACGGAAACATATCTTCCAAATACAAAATTTATCCGCATGCGTTCATTCGATAGATAGCAAGAATATATTGATGAAATGCATCTAACTTGAAACGCAACAGAAAACTCACCGCTAATTTTTGTACCATTGTGCTTTGTCCCAAGCATTATTTGCTAAAAAGAGATTAAAATGGCACCTACATTTGGCTTGGAGTGCGGATGGGATTTCGGACAATTCCGTCCGAGATATTATCCGCCATGGAGGCAAGTCAACATGAAACGGTTCAAAGATGGCTGTATAACATCGTTTTATTTTATGTATGTATATCTATTGTCGATACCGGAATATCAATTTGACAAATTCATTCCATTAAAATTCAAAACATTCAGCAGTGATCGTCGCACAGCTCATCAGATATCGCCTTGTCTTCCACAAACGGCAGACTTGATAATCCAAATTAAGCTAATGCTAGGAGATACATTCTTTGTTTTCCACATCTCTCCTACCACTATCCAGACCCTAGTACACACATGCATTCAACAATTCCCGGTTTCATTTAAGCAGCCGTAAAGCATCCGGGCTTCACCGGTTTAAACGTTCCTATTTGCTATTAACTTAAATACGTCGATTCCGTTTACTTTGAATTGCTCAGTACACTCTCTCCGTCGCATATGCTATTACGGTCTCGTTCGTATGCCTAGTAGAGACATAGAATTGGTCGAGCGCAATGTTATGCCCGTGGTGCTTCAAATGGTCGAGGATGGTGCAGAATTATTACGACGCTCAAACTCAGTGTTTTGGGCATTGTGACGGATGGGTGGACCGAATCAGTTTATGCTAAGTTGCATGGACTCGAGAAAGACGACATTTGTGATCCAAACAGAATGCAGCGATGGTTCGACATTGTCAGTAAACAGTTGTTTATTGCAGACTTATAAATCGACGCGCAACTGCTCGGAGCATGAAATATTTGGCTGTTCTTCTTATCTCTAAACCGAGGTCAAACACGTTCGCATTATTAATGTTCATAAGAATTAATGTTCTCCCATTGGCAGCTTAGTGGATCAATCACGATTTTGGGCCTACATGAATAAAATGCATTGGTGCAGACATTCCGCGGTTGTCGATTTCGAACGTGAGGAAAGCCTCATAAACTAGACTTATAAATACAGGTTAACATGTGCTTGAGCAACTTTCCTAACTAGATTCCAGAATCCACACAGTAATCGGAGCTCAGAAGCATGGGAACACATACGTACCATCGAATATCAGAACCACATAAACCGTCTTATTTGACCTATCTGTATGCATAGTTGAAAGCCCACAATGGCCGGACATCGAAACGTGTGTGTCTGTCGGATTCGAAGGAACACACTTCATTCTTTGATTGGTCGGCTATCCTTCAGCATTCGCATATTAAAAGCCAGCTCGCTTAAGTTACCGCATTAGCATCACGCTGCTCAGGGCATGCTGCTTGCAATATTCCACATTAGTTGTTTCATTCCAGTGAAGACTTGTGTGTATGAATCACAAATTTCCATGGAGCCCAATTACTCTAAACCGTTCCTCGTTTTGAAGTGCAGTTTAGAAAATCTCGGCGATCCAGGCTTTCCAGCCACATTTCGAAAGCCAAAGGTAGGACAGGACGCAGCAGGATACACTAGATGTATTGTTCCCGTGATTGCGTCAAGTCGGTTATCAAAGAATGTGTGATATTACCGCCTTCTAACTCCTATAGCAGACAACATCCTCAGCACAGACTTACGATAAGACATCCCCATTTTACTGTATCTCTCATTTGTGCATCATTTCAATTGGTAACCGTATTTATGTCATTTGCTTCCCTATTCCTATACCTGTGTCTATCTATAGTTTATGCCCACATTTCTGACTAAATTTATGGCCGCCATTTAGGTTTACGTTTGAAACGTAAGTTACCATCGACAATCGTATTGCTTGCCTATAATTGTACGTGCGATCTTCGTACATTCAATACAAACTCATGCACTTTGTAGTGTTATTGCTCATGAGGTTGTTGTTGCTCCATCCAGTTTGTGGTAGTCTATACACAGGTGTGAACAAATGCCCGCTCGCAAAAATGTAGTAGTACAATTCGAACCAGGGAACATTGATATGTGAACTGATATCTCATGTTGAATAACTAATTGGAAACCATTTAGAAATGCATCTTAGCGCCCCAGTTCAACTTGACAGACTGATCGCATTTTCACTCGTGTGACACAATTATTTGCTGGTTCGATATCTAAATGGGGCTCGCCCAAAATGCATGTCTCGCTAACATATGTTCTTGTCTCGCTACGTTCTCACTTGAAAGATGGATAATGCTATTTGCGTATTACGTGCTGATTGAAATATGAAATCAATGTATCCCATCAAAAATGCCTTTTTATGCACCCTTGTACATCTGCCGCCTTCAGGTAAACGCACTGGGATTCAGAAAATTATGCACCTTGATTCCGGAATTTTGGCAAATCGACGTTACACCTTAATCACTATGCATAGGCACAGCTAGCATAATGGCACTGATAAGTCGGTCGAGGTAGGCTAGTGTCCAAATGATATGACCAGGGTGATAAAAAATAAAACACACGACGGACTGACTGGTGTTTCAAATTAACTGTCAATTATCGCTCACCTCGGACATGAGACGACCGGATCCGCTCTGGTTTACTTTTCGACACGCATGGCCTGCAGTTATTATAGGAGACGGCATTCACAGCACACACCAACGATTAGGCATCATTTTTCCATGGTGCTTCTACTATTGCTGTTAAATTGTGCATAGTTATAAATCCACTTCTCTTACCGCTGACTTCAACTTTCCTGAGCTTATGAATAGCAATGGACACAATCGCACCATTTCCTTGCGAATTTGAAAAGTTGCTTACTCCATCTCCGTCATCTTCTTTGTGTCTTCCTTATGCTAGTACGCATGCAACCTGCGCTTATGTACAATACACGGGTAACATGATTAACCAGCGACTTGGTGCAATGTAGTATATATGTTGCACCTGTCTAGGACGGATGAGCCACACCTAACGTATCTTTATTGCGGTTATTAAACACGGTTGTATTTCGAGGTTATTTCATTTGTTGCTCACTATGCAGTTCTACTCCTCATAATACATATTACCTTTAGTGTCTTCCCAGGAAGAGTCTAGTGCGGTGACATACCGAGACGACGAGCTAAGCATCATCCTCTTCGTATTATTATTAGGCCGCCATTCACATCAATATGTTAGCTACAAGGAATCACTCACCAGACTATGCTACCTACGTTCCGCTGCTTGAAATCAATTTGTAGACTAAATGACCATGGTTTGCCCAGCTATTCAATGCTAACTAGCACGACGCTCACAGAGCCGATGCATTGCCGGATATAGGATGGGTCCGTCCATGAGCTCATTCGTATTTGACATGAGCGAAGTATCCGAGCGTACTGTTGATGCTACTTATCAACGCTTGGATGGCAAATTATTGAGTATGTCTCCCATGCGGTGGATACTTGCGAATCCAAAGGTTACCAGCACTTGGCCGTTTCCAGTAAGGATACACTGCAACGTTTGATATCTGGAGCAAAATGCTCAAAAACTGTCCCTCGTGTGACCAAAAAGTAATTATCCAGGAAAATCTGTGGCAAGTGAGCGATCCTGGAAATTAACCGACTAGCGATTGTCTTGGTGCGACAATCCACGTTCCGTTCCACATATTAGTGATGACGTGAGTTTAGTTATATTTTCCGTGGTTTATCAGCCATACTGAATTTACCGGGGCTTATAAAATCGCAAGTTTTTAGCAGATTGAAGGTGAAGCGCAGTGACGCTCCTCTGAAGTCCATATGGACATGACCAATCCTCTGGATAAATTAAAATCTAGGTATTACCAACGGTATGGTACGTCAGTATCATAGTATATTACATCGGAAATGAATCGGCGCAAAGCGGCAGTCAATTTAGTGGCAGCGAATGGCTACACCCAAAAAGTACGATGCAGATCGTTACCAAATAGACTATGGCCACAGCAGCGTACACAGTGGTATGTACAAACAGTCGAGTACTTGCCTGACAGCCATGCTACGTCTAGAACATTTGCAAAAGAGTGTGAACACTGTTTGGATAGTCGCATGTTTGACAGTGAGCAGCGGGGATTAGTTGATGTAAATTGGCGGTAGTTGTCGCTCCAAGGAGGCGGTAAGCGTCGATTATGTGGTATTCACACCTGTCGATGCTTAAGGTTGCGCAATATTCGTACTCGGACAGCACGTGATCGGACGGAACGGAGACACCGCGAGACTAGAGTGAACGCCCATCGAATTCGCAGGCTGTGCGATCTCCCTGATCAGCTACGCAAACCACACTGTATATATAAGAGGCAACATCTAAGTACATACTATTTTACTGTACCACTTTTCATTAATCATTCCAACTGTTGAACCTAACGAAGGCAATTGTGTTACTAATCCTATAACGGTTACGTTCAAATACCGATGCACAAGCTTTAAGGCTGTTATTTATGTTCACGTCTAAATGATAAAGAGAACGCCAACAATACGTATAGGGTACGTATTCTCATGCATACAAAAATGGCTGTTAGCCTGACCTCCAAACCTTATCCATTTACGTTGTTAGTACTGTTGATCTTGGGGTTTACTATGCATCTATACAGTTTGTGGCAGTTTATAATTAAGTTAGGACAAACGCGTGTGCCTGGTTTATTCGAACTACCATTAGACACGGATGATGCGAATCCATGTATATACGTATACCGAATGAATACGACGAGGATACTCATACCGATTGTACGACCAACATAGCGCAGTGAAGCGTCACTCGGGCAAACCGAAACTAATCTTATTAGGAGATGAACAAGGTGCGTTTATGACGAACTGATATTGATCTTAGATGTTGCGTATCCAAGGAAAATTTGCCCGGTGCGAATACCGTGGCCTGATCAACAGGGCGGTTGCCCAGCAGAGCAGGAGAACGCACTATTCCACGCGGAAAAGAAGCGCGATACGTACCCGCGCATGCGATTTATTAATCCTGGTCAATAAGGCGAAGTATATGATATGTTTGTCTAAATGATGAGTATTCTTGCATTTCTGTAGGTATATGTCGGTTGAGCTCCTCGATGTGATTGAGGCTGTTATGAATGTTGACAAGGTATCTACCGGTCTTAACCCTCCATCTCGATTGCTGGCCCCCGAAGATAGTTGCTCGTAGCTGAAAAGCACGGGGTGCACCATCCTCGTGGCGGTGTTAGGCGCAAACAGTTGTTGCATAAAACCTGTGGGGAACGGGCTATTGCCCAGTCACCGTCTTGCGTTCGCTTGGTTTGCATGATTTCCCAATTAAGCCGGAAAGATTTGGTTCTGCTTGTTGAAGGGTGTGGTCCGGCTCCGTTGTTGAAACGTGACTCCAGTGCACATGTTTTCTGGTCGTAATGTTTCGGGTTTCCGACCAAAATCGCGCGTGTGGGTGAAACTGTGGGTGGCGAAGTGCAAGATAATCACGGTCCCTCTGAGGGCGCAGGCGTCCTGTGGCTGTCCGCGAGGAGGACGCAGTGCCAGGCAAATCAGGATATGGATGGCAAAAATCCAATTCCACTGGAGTCACAAAATGCAACGCTAAATTCCACGCGAAATGCTCAAAGACTATCGGCGGCAGTCTCTTATAAAGCCACGCTGCCCGGTTTTCCAGCGTCTTTGAATGCTTACAATCTAAGTGAAATACGTCAGCATGCTGCACTCGCACACAACTTGGACTATTAGAACATTGAATTGTGGTGTGTGTGCGAAACTCAGATCCGTAACCCAAACGGTGTTGTCGAATTAACTGCGCTCAGCTTGTCCTCTCGCACGCATCCGGAAACACAGGTGCGTCAACTACTGGTCCAGCTGTGGTGGAGATCGTTCTCAGCTCCAATGTTGAGTCATCATTTGTAGGTTAAATTACCCTGAGCAGAGAATTGTGCGCAACCCGTTTGGCGTCATTAACTGAGGTTAGTTTACGAAGAAGTACAAGTCGAAGTTTGTTTGTGATTTCAACTCGTTCAGATGAGTACATCTGAACCTGCTAATATGCATTGTTACCAAATGCGAGCCTCAAACGCATGACAAATAGGATGTTATTCGTGACATCCACCATTTCGGCAACCGGATCACGACAGACAGTTTGGTTCAGTGCGGCGCAACTTTGTAGGTAGCACTGCTGTGGCTCTCGGAGGCTTATTCACAAAGCGCCCAAGGTAGGTGGGGGCTGGTCATATTTGACACTGATGTCCGTTCGGTGTTGTTCCTGTACGTTGGGAGTTCTAAGTCGGTAATACGGAAGCGCATTATCTGGTGGTTGATAGAGAACATCTGGTTCCACGTTGGACTGTTTGTTGACCTCAACACTTAAACGGTCTTATTCTAGTGCTCTGCTTGCTAGTGGGGCTGACACATAAATGTTTGTTCGTTTCTGCCAGTGTGTCTAGTTGGGTGAACTTCTGAGACAAACAATCATACCCCTGCAGGATGAAAGTGAGTACGTACGCTGAAAGACTAATCCGGGTTTCAGCTTACCAAGTATGTGGATGTAAACATTGATATCTGACACATGAGTGGTTTATGGCCTCCTTATGTTGATTCAATCATTAAATCCGCCCGTTTTCGCATTCGGTTAGTTTATTCCACAAACGACAAATCTAATTGACTTCTAATTTTTGCGTGTTCCCGCAGGAGGATTAACAATATTACGACCAGCATTATTATTATTATTGTTATTATTATTAACAGCATGGCGACCTGAGCCTACGGATATTGATCCACTTCGCATGCACGCGCGGATATTAAGTGATTGACTGAAGTGAAGTGAGTTGACAATCGGCAATTAGCACATTTTGATCCAGAAATTCAATCTCGCAATTCCCTGCTACCGGTCAATTTACGTTTATGTCAACTTCACCAACAATATTCCATTTGATATTCTGCTTCCACTTAATCCCGAACATTTACGAGTTGATTCCATCTAGGTCCCGATAAATTATTACATAAACGGAGTCTACCGACTCCAGAACAACTAACACCAGTAACCTCCTTGGTTCATGTGCTGTTCAGGGAAATATTCATTGAAGCGAACGTGTTGAACCAAAATGTACGGACATCGGACGTGATCCACGAAACTTACGCTGCTTCGATGTTTGGGAAAATGTGCCACCTTCAGTGATTTCAGTACATTCACCGTAGAATTTTCGGTTCCTGCTGGGATGGAGAAGTGTCAGTTAGGTTAGCTGTGCTAAGGAATTCAAAGTAGAGGATATGACATGGAATCCAAATAGGCATTGGTAAGTTAAGATTTCTATAAGTGCACAGTGGAGCAACTTATTTCCCCAAAATTACTGCATATCATCTGCCTTGTGAATGGAATCACCGTACACTACAGACATGCTCACTAGCAATCTACCAGCACTAGCGTTCTCACTACCTCAGGCAAAACGGCTATCCGATGTGTAGCATATCTTACTCGAGTTCACATTTGGCTCTCTAACATTCGGCATCGGTCGAGAACCGTGGGAGTTGGTTCCAAACAGATATGCTCGCACATGAATGACGGATATAAAGTCGACTGTTCATGCGTGGTGTGAAATGCATTCCAAGTGACGGTTACCATAAGCTCGGAACACAGATACGAAACCTCATCTTAACCCTAGTTCGATTGCAATGAAGGGGATAATAGTTTCTGGATGTCATGGAAATTCCTACATGTGCTATCTATATCTTTTGTTAGATTTCTCCCAATTTGCAGTTTTTGCATTGTTGCTCTTGCGGTATTGTTTTCACAAGTAGACGTGGATCTCAGCCAAATCCAGAATTATGTAGCTTAGCAGTGATTTGCGTTTGTCCAAAGGTTGAGATACTCACCCTACATAGGCTTTGCATGCTGTAGTTTTCTGCAACATGTTATCAACTCAGTTAGTTAAACTGCTTTGCGTAAGCTATTGAGTGTGCACCGGATTCATAAGCCACCCACTGCGTTACTCATTTATTGTCCCGGGATTTATTAGGTTGGTTCGATGAGTAGTCACAATTCCGTACATGGTGTGGTCTAGCAGTTTACTTTTTTAATTGTTAACTTCTCATTTTTGGTGAATTTTTGTAGCTTAAATATGCTTTCTGGGGCATAATTAGGTCATCGCATTTCTTTACATTTCTCATGGTTGTTGATTTAACTGTCACAACCTGGATGAATGGGGGCATCATTTTATCTGCACGGGAAGGCCGATTTTCTTGCAGGTAATTAATTATGGATTCATCATCACCACCATCATCACCAACAGCAGTACATCAGCCATTTGAACTGATGCATCGCTGCCATACAACCATAAGGATCTAGGAAATAGAGAAAAAGAAGAGGGAGAGAAACGGGACTTACCTGATAACCTTAGTGCCCTAAGCAAACATTCAGGGTCAAGGCGCCTACACCTTGTGTAGACAACATAACGTCACAAGCAGCTGGCTAGTATGCAAAGAAAAGTCGGCATCGGTGAAACACATTCCTTGCGGCTCTCACTGCCAGGCGTCATAATCAGCCATTACCCCTCATATAACTCAGCACCAAACACACTTTGAACAGGCAATCCGATTAGGAGAAGGCAGCAGACGCGCCAGGGGAGTTGGTTGCAAGCCATCCCCTGTAAACTCTCGCGCCAAGCACAAGGAGAGTCATGTGGATTCCAGCTCGGAAGGCGTCACAGCCCAACGGCACATACTTTGATCGTCAGTGACTTCATTTCCCGCTGCCAAGTCAACTTATGTCCACCTTGAGCCTTGCGCTACCCTACACCCGGCAGACTAAATAAGGCCCTCCTTGGTAAGCGGTGACCGAGCCCAAGCAACTTTTTCAGTGCTATCTGTTGTTCTAGGGAGCTAGCATGATTATCACCACCTAGTACTCGCCTATACACATCATCGTTCCGGACAGGCTGGTGCCATCCGACTCCAGCAATGCTTCGCAGACAACGAGGATTAAAGACTTGAATGCGCCTCAGCTCTTCAGACCGAAGGGGCCAATTCTCACTACCACAGAGCAGAACGGCCCTCACTGCGGCCTTGTATACACGGCCTTTCAGACGAAAGGAAACTCCGTTCTGTCACCAAAGATGCCGCAGGTTCAAGAAGGTAGCTCTGCTTTTGCAATGCGTGAGATGACGTCAGTTTCCATGCGCCCGTCATTGCTGATGCAGCTGCCAATATAAGTGAAATGATCAACCACCTCGAGTTCCTCGTTAGCAAGCGTCAAGGGGTCATCAAGTGGCTGGTGGTTCTGCAGCAACACTTTGCACTTTGAAGGTGCAAAGTGCATACCAAATAATGGAACCACTCTGGACAGGCTATTCAGGGTTGATTGTGCAGCACCAAGATCGTCGAAAAACAAGACGATATAGTTCTCATATTCTAGATCAAGTAACATTTCACCAGCCAGCAATTCAACACCTACATCGTGAGATTCCGTAAGGGAACACTCCATGATAAATCCACAACGAAATTGAACAAATATGTGCAAATCGGACAACCCTGACGAACGCCAAATGTGGTCGGAAAGCTATCCGATTGGCCACCGTAGACCCTGACGCCGCCAGTAGTGTTCGAGTATAGAGCACGAAGGATGTTCACATATTTCGTGGGAACACATTACCGCGCAAGTATTTCGAACAGAATCGAGCGATCGACTGAATCGAACGCACTCTTGAAATCGAGGAAAACAGCTATTGTCGGTCTGCGGTATGCGTGGCGCTGCTCTAGCACGTGCAGCAGCGTGAATATATGGTCTATACAGTCACGTCCTAGGTGAAAACGGGTCTGCTCTTCCCTAATCCGAGATTCCCGTTCCGCAGTAATGCGACGAACGAGAAACGAGACCAATAATTTTGTGACAACTGGCGTTAGGCTAATACCCCTGTCGTTAGAACAGTCTGTGAGACTGCCCTCCTTATATATTGCCACTACAATCGATTCGTTCCAATTAGCCGGGACACTCTGTTCCTTCCAGATACATTAGAATAAGGAGGTCAGTGATTTGCAGAGAACCTCACCTCCATCCTTAAATAGTGCAGATGTGAGGGACTCCTGGCCATCGGCACTAAAATGATTAAGGACTGTGATCGCGTTTCGGAACTCGGCCTCCAACGCAGGCTCTAAACTAACCGTCCATGGCTCGTCCTGCATCACCTGAGTAGGAAGGGTCCGGGAGCAGGAAGCCAGCTGAACTGATCTTGAAAGTGTTCCACCCAACGAGCCATACGGCGCTCCTTATTGTGTTTCAGCGCACCTGCGATCTCTCTGATTGTCTCACTGACGCCTGGTTACCTGGGATCAATATTGCAGAGTAGCTGGAGGAGCTTGTGGTAATTGCCTACTGTTCCTGCTCCTCCATTACTTGAGCCCTACTGGTCCACCACGCTTCCTTGTCAGCACTCAGGCTTTGCTTTCTTTCACGCCTAATAACCCGTCTGGTCACATTGTGTTCCTAGCCAGCCGGGAGGTGTCTTCTAGCTTCCAACAGGTTCACCGACCTCTCGGATATCCAGTGACTGATGCTGGGACGATGAATAGGGCCACAAGCAGATGCTCCTGCGTCGTGCATGGCGGCCGAGATCCTTATCCACTGAAGATCAGTGTCATTATATTATACAGCGGACGTTCGGTATGCAGTGCTTCCTGATGGGCTTGCCTGACCGAGGACTGAGACAATTTCTCAGTTGCCAATCGTATGGGACGCTTGGTTCGCCTCCCGGTAAAGTTCACAGAGAAACGACAACGTACCAAGGCATGATCAGAGTCGACACATGTACTCCAGTACGAGCGGTCATCCAGAATGGAACTACGCCATCTGTAACTTATAGCAGTGTGTTCAATTTGAGTCCACCGGTGGTCAGCTACAGGAGGAAGCCAAGTGGCACTTCGGCGCCCAGTGTCTAAAAGCAGTTCGCATGGTTGTATTTAGGCTGAGCTACCGCCAGGGCGCACAGACCCAGACAGGAGGAAGAGTAGGGTCCTCATCCAAAGCCTTTGGCTCAAAAGCCTGTCAGCACGGCAGCGGGGTGGCGGCAATAATTTAGTTTTAGAGAAATGGACGCCATCCCATTTCAAACCCCCAATTTGGAGGACCAGGAGACTGAGTTTGTCTGACCTCTCACCATTGACCAACCTGGTAGGAGTAGCTCTCAAGTTGCCTGGAGGCATCACCCAGGATAACTCAGTGGGTAAATGAAGTACGCATGCAGTCGCTCCATGTTATGGTCCAGTCTCGTTGCGACGGCGACTGACCCGCACATATCCTGGTGCGATCTGCAACATGTTGATTTAGATGACATGCAAGGATGCTTTCCCGCAAAACAGCGTCAAAAGATTAATGGGAAAGATCACGATGGAGCAAGTCCCAATCGGTACCAGCAGCGGTTAAGTTTCCCATAATCAAACAATCTCTACCGTGCTTCTTGAAAGAGTTCAGTAAATGCGGTCGGGAACCCAATGGGGCTGTGCAGACAACGCCAATCATAAGAGAGCTGCATCCGTCATGGATCCAGCACCAAAGAATTATAGACACGCTATCACTATCACAAACTGCTCCAAGTAGTTCAGCCCCAAAGTTTTTTCCAGTAGAGAATAACCCGACAGCCAGACCTCGCTCCAAATCGACCTGCCTGAGATAGATGATACCCTAGAAGATACCATCAGAGTCAAGGATGTCCGGTGATAACCAGGACTCTGCGAAACACATCAGACCCAGACAACTATAAGAGGCAAGGAGCTGAACCTCAAGCAGTTTGTTACCTATACTAAGTACATTAGCAAGCACCACCCGCATGTATTCATTAATCTCGTCGCCTGGAGCGACAAATTTGGTCTCAAACGAACTCCCGGTGCCGACTGAACCACGAGAAAATCCACAATGTGTTGGTTTCACCAGTTTCTCGGTGTGACCGTAGAGCAAAGGTTACCTTCAATCGGGTCCGGTTCTGGGAAGAGGTCGGGGAAGAGTTAAGTAAAGCAGTAAGTAAAACGTGAAGTGGAAAGGCCAAACTAAAATTGCTTAAGGATTAGGGTGTAATTAATCATATCACTGGACAGACGGCAGCAAGCGGTAGATACTTAAGAAACTAGGAATCATTACAAACTGCAACCCTCAAGCTGGCATTATTCTTTAATCTCTATATCTGTATGTTTGTACTAAAACGAATGCGATAAATTTGAACGGTGCAGAATAAGTTGAACTTTGTTATTTCGTGAAAGACCTACGCATTTCTTTATGATCATTTCTTAATGATGGGGTAGATCCCAATTATGTTGTGAAGCTGAGAATTATCTCGGGGTCCACCATTGCTAAATCAAAAATGCAATTACCTCCTCAATATCTTGGAATATATTTGGAACCGATCGGGAAGTCATCATTTCAGAAAACTTGGTAGACGACCGGTTAATGTATTTATGGTGATGAACAACGTTTCGCTTTTGACAAAAAGCTTCATCAGGCGAAGTGAATTATCTTAACAGTGGC